TTTCAATCAAATTTAAAAAACTTAAATCGAGGTATTTCAATTTTGTTTATGTCGAAACTCGTATAGTACATGCATATTTGTATTGTTTAATGTGTTTCCATGTTAATTTGTGTTATGTTTGTGTTTAAATTTGTATCTTATTTATACCAGGATTGATTTATTAGCTTTGGTACAAAAAATTGTTAAAATTTGATAAATTATTTGTATTGTTAAAAAAATAATATTATTTATTTTGTTTGTTGTTCATATTTGTATTTTATGTTAGTTGTTTTTATATGTAATAGTGACCTTTTAGCGTAGTAAAATAAATAGCCTTTCAGCGTAGTAAAATATAGAACCTTTTACTGTAGTAAAATATAGAGCCTGTTAGGGTTGTAAAATATAGAGCCTTTTAGCGTAGAGTCTATGTAGTTTAAGTATGCAGTAACTGCAAACNGTTAACACGCATAATAATTAAGGATAACTCGGTGCTACCGGGCCTCAAAAAATGAGCCTGGAACCCATATATAATTATTCAGTCCAATTGTAAACATAATTAATTATTTAATTTATTAAGCTAACATACACAATTCTAAAAATGTTGAAATTAACACGCATAATAATTAAGGATAACTCGGTGCTACCGAACCTCAAATATCGAGCCTGGAACCCGTACATAATTATTCAGTCCAATTTTAAACATAATTAATTATTTAATTTATTAAGCTAACAGACACAATTCTAAAAATGTTGAAACTAACACGCATAATAATTAAGGATAACTCGGTGCTACCGAGCCTCAAATATCGAGCCTATAACCCGTACATAATTATTCAGTCCAATTTTAAAAATAATTAATTATTTGATTTATTAAGCTAACACACACAACTAATTTTGTTTAAATTATAGTAGACGACATGGGCTTTCCTCCGCCTGCGCATCCCGGACCTGCCGATGATCAACTACTAGTGTTGCAGGGCAACATGAGTACCGTCTATGGAAATAACAGGATGACAATCCACAAAACCATCAATTGATGGTTTAAATGACCAGAACACATAGTTGAAAATATATTCGGGTCTGTCCGGACTCCGCTCACGCCTCAATTCAACAATAGTCTCGGGGTTAAAGTGTTGCAGCGCGGCCATGTACCTGGGCAGATTTGAAAAAGACTTATCCCAGTCGCCATAAATAAGTTCAAAGGCACGTTTGCGACCGAGATATGCCTTTCTTTTGGTTATAGTACAACCATACTCCTGGTGGACGGCTATAATACACTCTTTAATCTTGAACCTAATGGACACTTCCAAATATGGAATCAAGACAAGAGAAATCAAGTCCACATCCAAGTTGAAGTGATTCCCATTGTATGTGTCCATTTCACATTTGTGCTCGCTAATAAATTTATCCACTTTCCACAAATCTGATTTCTTCTTGGTGGCACGCAACATCCAGTGACAACCCATAAAGTCTTTACGACATACAGCCTTATATTTCTCCGTAGTTGACTCACTTAACGTCATCTCACGGCACTCTCTTATACTGTAGATTTTTACAGCCCTAATTAGGCGAGCTTTATCGGGGAAATACATGCCCTTTGTCAGAACAGCTGGTCTAGACTCATCCCACATCGCTGGCCGAAATTCATCATCATTCCTTGTGAGGGCATCCACGTTCGGCATGCTTGGCAAATTATCAAGGTAGGGAATATTCCGCTCATGAAATGGCACATGGGACTCGTACACTCTTGGTCTAGCTGGAGGTGGAGGAACATGCTCCCTCGTCAACTCAGGTTCAACATTCACTTCCTCCTCCTCATCACCCTCATCATGGAAGGGTGTGTCATCCCCAGACTCATCCGCATTGTTGTCATAATCACTATCATCTTCCTGACTCTGCGCATCTGCCAAATCACGAGTAAATACGTCGTCTATGGGCAATTGTGTGAGGTCAGGAGCTTCAAGAAGCTCGTTTTCACTGCACATAAAGAACAAAATGATAAGTTACCCAACTAGATAAATACTTTAGATATAGCTATATCACTTTACTTACAAGTCGTACTGTCTTGACGTTTCATGATGGATATTTTCTTGTTGGTGATGACTCCCAGATGGACCACCATGGTCCAATACTCCAGAACTACGCATATTCCAACTAGGGGCAGGGTCATAACTTGTAAAATTCATATCCGGACGGTACCCCCTATGAAAAATATGAGTGTTAATACAAATCCAATTAAAACATAAATTAAACATCGCTAAAGCGTAGTAAAATTGAAGTTTACCAGTCGTCTTGTTGATTATCTAAAGTCAAAAAATTATTTTGTGGCTGCTCATTCGCCGGTGGTGACAAATTTAAATCAAGGCAAGCTCTTTCATCACCAATCTGTCCGGCAAAAACTGCTCCAGAATAACCACCCGATGACTTGGGGTTATCCCTACTATGCACGCCCTCATTATTAGGAATGTCTTCCACCTTGACGTACATTTCCAATAATTTTATTACAATAAATTCCCTATATTCATCCGGAATTAGCAAAAAATCTCTAAGAGTTTCATCATCCTCGATGTTAAACTCAGAATAATAAGCAAACCCCTGCGGAGTCACTGAATACGGAAAACTACCGGTTATTCTAAGGTTAACCGAACGCCTCCTCTCATTCATTTTTTTTACGTAACAACGATACCAATTTATCGTACTCTATAGTAAGCGGCAATTTAACATGACATTGTGGAGGTGAGCTATACCTCACAAAGTTATTCTCCAACACAACCTCA